GTTGGGAAATTAATAATTTATAAGAAAAATTTAAACATTATTTATCCTCTTTGGGCTATGATATACTGTGGTTGACATTCATTGGAATTTTGTGTGTAAAAAAGAACATTTTCCTGTATATGTACAGAAAATTCATTTTTAATTCTGAGATTGATAGTATCTCATGTCTCTTGAAACTACATACATGGAGCCATCTAACACCAAGCTCTTATATTGATAAGAGGCCCCATTTTGGGGGATACAGTAGAGAAGTCACATGAATTCATCCCCCACCCTCACCTTATTCTACCTTACAGTATCCTACCTGGCAGGATTCACTTGGGTCATGGTGTTTCCCCTCGTAAATGCCTGACTTCTATTGATCCTTCAGTTTCTGTTGTTTCTTCAAGAGGGGAAGCCGAGGAGTTGAGTCTGATAGGAAGGACCCAACCAGGAGCTGGATGTGCATCGCAGTGGGTTCCACCCATGACAAGGGCCCAGTCCTCTCACGTTATCTCTCAATCCCCTGCAAGGTCATAGTTGCTCTTGATTCTTCAAACCCTCTGTGCACTTCTCCTTCACTCTTAAGACCCCTCGTTATACCGGAAGCCTGACTCTTACTTCCTCAGTTGCTTCAACTTTCCCAGTAAGGCAAAATTTAATAACACTAAGAACCTCTATATTCTTGTAGTCAGACCAATTTAAGGCCCTTGTCCCCTGTGTGTCTGTGTCTCTTCTTGTCTGATAAGGGCACCTGGCCCATTGGATTAAGGTCCCACCCTACTCCAGTAACGCCTTATGTAATTACTTCTGTCTGCCATAACCCTTTCTCCAAATAAGGTCCGCATTCTGAGGGGGGTTAGCACTTCGACATACCTTTTGGGGGTTGGGGGAGGGAGACACAATTTAACCCATAACAGCCACATCAAGTGGCTATTAGGCTTGTTATCTTATTTTAAGCTATTCTTTGCTTAGTTCCTTCCTAATTATCATTTAATTGTTATAAATAGACTGAAAAGCAGGATAATTTCACACATTTTTGCATACCTTCAAAGCCTTCCTTATCAGACATTTGCACATGAGAGGTTTTTTTCCTCCCATAATTAGCCATCCTGTGTGTCACAAAGAAAATATGTTAAAGTAATAGCTCAGTTTGGGTTTTTATTAAACATCAACCTCTTATTTTATTAATCACATATTGTGGTTATATGAAATTTCCAATTCTACAATTCATATGACTATTTGCTGCCTTAGAAAGTTGCTGAGTTTTAGAAACATTTTCATCTTGAAATTAGATTGCTGGTTTTCAGTATAAATAATGGAGAGCATGAATTTGATTTCCTGGGAGATAGGAACAAATAATCATGATTCTGTGTAACAAGTCTTAGGGTGGTGAAATATGGACGAATTCAATGCTTAACAGACTACTGACGATTCCCTTTAAATTTGGACTTAGCCATTACATACATTACATATTACATAACTAGTATGAATGTTCTTAAAAGAAACAGTAAGAAAAGCCATTCTTATTAGCGTTTTGAATTCATATCCAAAATAGATTACTTGAGAAGTATTACCTATTATTGGTTATTGCTCTTTGTACCAATATGTAGTCTGTAAATTTCTTTGTTTCTAAATGGGAGTGTTAATGTCTTCCGTTCCTACTAATAAAGTCACATAGCACGTTCTATTAAATGATCTCATCTAATCTTTAGGGCTTTAAGATGAGTGTATTATTTGTCACTACTGACAAGAGTAGATTTTCTCTGTGCTGTTGAAGTTTACTTCAACTATTTTTGACTCTGGCATTGTTCCCTTGCATTATTTTGGGTATTTTATGACTCTATTTCTGAATACTTAAAATCAAAGGCAAGACTTACACATATGTTTTATTTTAAGGAAGTCTTAGAGTTTATTTTTTTCTTAAACTCTTTATTTTCAGATAATTGTAGATTCACATGCTGTTGCAAAAGATAATACAGGTAGATCCTGTGTATCCTTTATCCTGTTTTCCCCGATGGTAACCTCTTACAAAACTATAGTACAATATCAAAAAAGAGGAAATTGACAATAATAGAGTCAAGATACAGAATATTTCCACCACTGCAAGGATCCCTCACATCACCCTTTTATAGGTGAACCCAGTTCCCTCTCACCATCATCCCCTCCCTTAACCCTGGCAACCATTAATTTGTTCTCTATTTCTATAATTTAAGACATATATTCTTGTATTGAGTCAAACAATCAGTTGAGTGGTAGATCTTTGCAAAATTCAAGACTTCTAGGAGAGAGGAATGGGAAATTAAAATCTAGGACAAAATTCTTGCTGTGGGAACTTATATCGTTTATATTGTCCACTCCTTTTTCTTCATGAAGCAAATATTAGTAACACTATATGAAAATAAGAGAGTCTCTGCTGGTGAGTCTAAACTTCATTTCTTCCTTTAGTGAAAGGTTGCGTCTTAAACCAAAATATCTTTAAATTTCTCAGAATCCTCATTTTCCATATTTCTAAGCTAATTATAGTAAAAATGACTTATAGGCATGCCTCAGATATTGTGGGTTCTCTCTTTATGGGCATGCCTCAGATATTGTGGGTTCAGTTCCTTTCCCCACAATAAAGCGAGTCACACAAATTATTTGGTTTCCCAGCGCATATAAAAGTTATGTTTACACTGTACTGCAGTCTATTATGTGCAGTAGTACTATGACTAAAAAAAACAAAGTACATACCTTAATTAGAAAATACTTTATTGCTAAAAAATGCTAACCATCATTTGAGCCTTCAGTGAGTTGTAAGCTTTTTGCAATAGTAACATCAAAAATCACTGATCACAGATCACCATAATAATGAAAAAGTTTGAAATATTGTGAGAATTTCCAAAATGTGGCACAGAGATACAAAGTGACCAAATGCTGTTGATAAATGCTGTTGGAAAAATTGATAGGCTTGCTTGACGCAGGGTTGCCACAAACCTTCAATTTGTAAAAAGCACTTTATCTGTGAAGCGTGATAAAGCAAAGCGCGATAAAGCGAAGCGCACTAAAATGAAGTTTGCCTGTACTTAACTAATAATAGAAAGCAGTGGTGTAGATAAATAGTACTCCATTCAGAAGAATAATTGGTACAATTTGCATTCAGTGTTGAGGATGAATTTTCTTTGGATGGCAGAATGGTGAGCAGGAAGGCATTGTGGTAGGAGCAAAAGCACTGAGGTAAGGAAGCTCATGGTGACTCTGCTCTCTGGGTTGAAGAGGAATGTTCATGTTGACTTGCAGTGGGAGAGAAACCTGGAAATGTCACTAGTGGAGTCCAAGCTTAGAGCCCTTGAATGCTGGGCTCAGGACTTTATTTTAAAGGCAGAGCAGCGTATTACACCTTATTGAACTCCGAAGTGAAAGGTTATGAGATATTTGAGGTAGATTAAAGTGACAGCTGTAAAGATGAATTGGTGCTAAGAGAGACGGCAGGCAGGGAAATTAATTAGTTTTTTTATGCTAGGTTTTAGCATCTGACAGTGAAGGTGTCCTGGTAAAAGGATTTCTGCAGGTAGAGGAAGAGCTAATTATAGATGATGACAGACTGGATTTCTAGGGGTAGAAGGCAAGGGAGGGATTAGGAAATGTTATTGTGAATATAGGAGAATAGAAGGATTGTCATATCATTTATAATAAAATTTTTGTTTGTATTTGGAGAAGCTGGTTTTAGGCATACTGACTGTTAGCTGTGTCCTGAACTGTTTTTTTTTGTTTTTGTTTTTTTCCTTTTTTCTTTTTCCTGAACTTTCAAGGCAAGATTGGAAGTCTCTGGAGGAAGTTTTAGGCTGGAGATTATTAGGAAATTTTAAATTAATTTGCATGGAGATGATAATTGTATTGCCAAAATATTGAAAGACTTACTGTTTCAAGGCTGTTGTTGAGTCAACCAGTCTGTTGCCAGGTGTGTTAGGGATGGTTAAGTTATGTTACATCTTTGAGACTATCTCTGTTTCACTATTTGAATTCTATCTGTTCCATTGCATGGAGTACTAACCTAGACATAATATAACCTGTGTGAGGTCTTTATAGGAAACTTGCTTTATATGATATGACTTCTAACTATGTATTCATGAGAATAAAAGTTCTAGTGGATTCAAAATAATCTTTTCTTTGAACTTCTTACCTTAACACTATTCCTTCTTTCTAGTGGATATGATTGTAGTGGTGATGGTGGGTGTTTCATGTGATATGATGTAGAAGAGGCTGTTTATTTGCTCCTAATTGTTGGTTACTTGGTGAGAGTATATTTGTTAATAAACATTAATGTGATTAAAATGTATCTTGCAGAAAATTTATCTCAACCTATTGGTTAAATTATTCTAACCACACATTCATTAGCTCCTTTTATTCATTGTCAACCTAGGTTTTCAGCTTTACAGTATTCAGCTCACTGATGCATCCTTGTGCTGGGAGGGTAATCCTTCTGTTGCAGGCATGCTTTCAAATGTGTGCTCTTTCCTTTCAGTTGTTCTTGGTACACAGTTTCCAAGAACTCTGCAATGCATTTTAACATCTTATTCTACTGTTTATAGATGTGAATATACAGGTTGTCACCTCCATTCAGAAGAAATTGAGCTTATTACTCACTAAATGTTTTTCTTAAAACTTTAAAAAAAAATTTATTGTATTTATTTATTTTTATTATTTTTTGGTTGTGCCAGGTCTTAGTTATGGCACATGTGGGATCTTTGCTGTGGCATGCGGGATCTTTTTTAGTTGTGGCGTGCGGACTTAGTTGCGGCATGCGGACTTCTTAGTTGTAGCATGCATGTAGGATCTAGTTCCCTGACCAGGGATCGAAACCGGGCCCCCCCTGCATGGGGAGTGTGGAGCCTTACCCACTGAATGTTTGAAAATGTAAAACATTATTCTCCATTATGTAGTGACTAAGTATTCGTGTATAGTACATTCAAAGGACAGCTCAGTGTGACTTTCTGTAGTTAGCAAAATGTTTAAAGCACTCCATCCCCATTGCGTTTCAGTGCACCTGCAGGAAAGACATGGTGAAAATTTCAATGGATATCTTTGTGAGGAAATTTCAGCCAGACAGATACCAGCTTTGGAAACAAGGAAAGGATATATATACCATTGATCACACGAAGCCTACTCCAGAATCCACCCCTGAAGTAAAAGCATGGCTGCAGAGGAGGAGGAAAGTAAGAAAAGCATCCAGGAGGTAATGATCCCACCCACACCCCTTCCTAGTTGTACTTACTCATTTAAAATGGGTCCTTGAACATAATGTTCTCAAAGACTATTTATTTGCTTTTTTTTCCTGTTTATTCACCATCAGTTTACTTAATATCTTACGAAAAATTTGACGCAAAGTATTTTCAATTCTTTGGAAGTGTAATAAATGAATAGAATATAAACAGAGATGTATATTGTATTTGAGAATATTTTTAAAGTTGCAATGCATGAGAAATAGAACAATTCTAGACCTTCTAAACCCCTTACATTAATATATTTAAAGATTTATCAGTGCTCTCTATTCATCTCCTTATTTTTGTCAACTTCAGTAACTCGATTTCCAACTTTTTAATTTTGCTACTGATTTTGACTTTTAGTAGTTTTCGTCTTCATTTGTCAAACATCTCAGATATTACTTTTCTCATTGGGATGCCTATATATTTTGCTACATTATGCACACTTGGCTTTATTCTTTCACAAGACGTAACTCAGAGCATGTGGTGTTTCTGTAACGTGGTTGTCCCTGTGTACTTTAATCTACATTCCATTTTTGTGGCCAGTGCCATTTCAAAAGCCTTTAGGCCTGTTGTGGTCATCTTGCTGTCTTAAAACACATTAAATAGGGTGTGTGTTATGTTGCTCAGGTCCTCAGGCAACCTTTTTAGACTTTTATATTTTCCAGGTTTATATTACATTTTTACTCTCCAGTATTACTCATTGTTTTTCTTTCAGACTGTAAAAGTAATATTTGTGCATTGGAGAAAATTTGTAAAATAAGGAAAAGAATAATGAAGGAGTCCCAAATCACCCATAACCTCACAATCCAGAGATAACCAGTGTTAACATTTTGTATATATCCTTTACATATATATTTTTATTTATTATATAATATTATATACATTTCCAAAATTGGGGCCATGCTCTTATTAATAATTTGATGACCAGTTTTGTATTTTTTCATGTAACTGAATGATTTGCTACAACGTAATTTCTAACGCCTGCATGTATTTAATCTCCTGTATTTGGACCTGTAGCTTGTTTCTAGTTTTTTGCTACTAACCAAATAACACTGCAATTTTAAGTCTTTGCCCACACTTCTGTTGCTTATTTTCTGACTCTCTCTCTCTTTCCCCCACCACCCCCCCTGACAATTTATCTTCTGCTATTTTAGAATGCTAGTGAGTGGAGGAACCTTAAGAACATGGAGTCAAACCAGCATTTTGTAAGAGATATACTTGACGCACAGAATTAGTTAGTAGCAGAATTAAAACCCAGGTGTTCTTATTTCACCCTATAGTCTACAGCAGTAATTTTCAAACTTTTAGTTTTCAAATCAATTTAATAGGTTAGGAACAACATTTTAAAATTAGGAAGTAAAAGAGAATAAAATGCATTGTAGTTCTTCCCATGAGGTAAGGGTAAGTATTAATTCATGACATGTGTGAGCATGTGTGTATTGTGTCATCATCTGAAATGTATAACTTACTGTGGGTTGCATTCAGAAGAGTTTGGGAAACACTGATTTAGAGAGTCACTGTGTTTTGTAAATGTGAGAATCCTCATTGCCAAAAAAGTTCACTGTGGAAGGAGGCAGTAGTCAGTCTTGAGTTCAGTAGCCAATAGCACATCTTGAGAATTGTTCTTTAATGGACAGAAAACACAGTACTCTAATTAGGTGTATGATCTGGTCTCTTAGTTACTAACCACAGTGGTCCTTGTGGGTTGACATTGAATATAGATCTATGACATTGAACAGATTCGAAGTGCCTTTCAGTAGGTTAAAATAATGAGTGGTCTTCGCTCACCCAGTTAGAAAGCCTAATGTTAAGGGGCTTGTTTATTATGCTCACCTTTGTGGTTTGATCATCGAGTTTGCTGATCTCCCTTAAGTAATATGCTATATCTAGGAAAATCTAATGAAGGGAATGATTCACTGAAATCTCAAAGAGATGTCAGCCATCTTATTGTAAGTGTACTGTGCTATTCAAAATGTAGAGATATTCCACATAGGCCCCTGCATGGGTTCTCAATGAAGTGATGATGATACCAATACTGTTACTTCCAGCAGCAGCCAAAGCTAATTTACATAGGTTATCCCTGGCTACCCCCTTTATCTTATCTGTGACTTCCTACAGAAAAACACTAATGTGTTTTCTTGTGTGTGTGTGTACTCTGAAGTACATGTCGTTTTGATTTGAGTTGTAATTCTTCTTAAATGAAAGTGTTAGAAATGTGTCATATACAAAAGGCTCTGCAACAAAGCTATCAAGTGACTTGCTGGAAAATACTAGAAGAGGAAAACTTTAAAAATGGCGTCCACTCTGAACATAAATAATACATTGATATAAGATGTTAAATACATATGGTTTGCCTTCCTCCTCTCTTAATTCCTTTAGCTAATGAGAATTGGCATTTAACCTTAATGCTTTTCATGCATATTTCAGAATTATACGAAACTCAGGGAAATATAGCCACCAGTTCACCTTGGAATGTAAATAATCTACTCAAATTTTAACAACAGCTTTATGGAATCTCCTCATTTCCTTTTTCTTTCTTCATTATCTAAATAATATTTGCTTTTATCCTTATGTCATCATTTTTCACTTTAGTTTTATTTTGAGCTTTAATATTGTTATAAAATTTTAAGTGATTTTCCAATAATGTTTAATAATCAATAATATTTAATAATCAATAATGTTTAACAATTTAGAGTTGTTTTAATTTTAATTTTTAGTAAATTGTTATTAAAACTGTGCTTAACATTTCAATTTGATCTATTCCTCGTGAAGATTATCTTTGTATAATGTGATTAAAAACCAATCAGTTTTCTCCTCTCTTTTTTCATCAAGTGAAAATAATATTTGTATGTTTTTTCCTGTCCATTGGAAACATTGTGTTCTGACTATAGCTTCTTTTGTTAAAAGCTTCCAGTGCACTAGTTCTCACTCTAAGAGGCCTAAGAATGAGGAAGATGAGGAAGTGTCAGCTGCAGTTGATGGGGCAGAGGGCCCCACTCCTGACCCAGACCCAGATGAGCTCAAGGACAGTGAAAAGCCAGAAGAAGCTTTGAAACTAGCAAACACAGAAGCACCTTCAGAGGAAGAGGCCTCTGCTAGCAAGATGCAGCTGGATCACAATGTATCAGATAATATCAGATTCGCAGGTGAGAAACTAGCTGATTATGTTTCACATATTAGTAGTAGGTGATTGTTGATCTGCCTTAAATCTGTGTTTACTAGGGCAGATATGTTACTTTTCCACGTAGCTTAACCCATAAGCTATCTAAAACTATGCGGTAACTCAATCAAAAGGCCAAGGGAGTGTTATGAAAATCAGAAGCACCACTGCTACGGGTAATGGAATTTTGAGACAAGCAGCCAGCAGTGCCTATTTCGTTTAATAAAAAAGAAGATTCTAAAATGAAAAAAATTTATTTTTAGTGCAACTCAATTTATAATATACAATGCATTTTTTGGAAAGCTTCTCTTGAATTCACATGGAATAGAGAAAACCAATTATAGATAATTCTTTGCAGATTCTTAGCTTCGACTTAATTTTAGGAAGAAAATAAAGATTAAGGTTTTACAGAACTGCAAACATCATTCAGTCCTGTGAAATGTGTATATAGTCCCCTGGCTGTTTCTCTGCACCAAAGCCATCATCTGTAAATCTCAACTGCTTTGCTTTTCCCCACTTTTATAGCATATTTCTCTGAAACTGTTTTAATGCTTTGCTTCTTTAATAGTTGTTGGAGGTTTTGTCCTTTTCCTAATCGAGCTTGTTGGTAATTCCTGTCTCTCTCTCATACCCCTCATCTATTGTATCCTTCAACTGTGGGACTCTTCCCAATCCAGCCACCCCCTTGCTTCCTCTTTGTTCAAGACACGTTATCTCTTGTCTGGACTGTTGCAGAAATTACTTCCTTCCTGTCTTGCCTGTGTCCTCTCTAGTCACCCCTACTAGACTGTTGCAGAAATTACTTCCTTCCTGTCTTGCCTGTGTCCACTCTAGTCACCCCTGCTAGTCAGTTCTCCATATGGCAGTCATAGTGATCCATTTAAAAGACGTGGTTTGTTTTGTCCCTCCCATCTTCTTGCACTTATTGCACTCAGAGTAAAAGAAAAAGTCCTGATCATCGGATCCTTGGCTGCTTCTCTATTCTTACTACCTTTTGCTCTTGAAATATCTATGTTAATAGAGTTTAAATCATAGACATTTTTTTCACTGAGTTTATATTTAATTGGAGAGCTAGACAAATAAATATATAATTCCTATCTAGTGTGCTGAGTGCCACTAGTAGCGATGGCATAGGGTGTTCCTGGAATACCAAGGAAAGACCTGAAATAGACAGGAGGCTGGACTGGCAGGGTTTCTTGGAGTAGGTGATATCTGAATTGACTTGTGATGAACACATGGAAAATAGAAAGTAAAGAAGGCAGGGAAGGGAATAGCAAGCAGTACAGAGAACAGTTATGCAGCGCAGACGGATATTTCTTTATAGTCTCTCGCCGTAGTTTTGTTGTTGTTGTTGTTGTTTATAATCACAACAGATTAAATTAACTACTTTACAGATTACTGGGTAGTTTAAGCTAAGGGTACCCAGGTTTATTATTTGTGTCACTGCCTGGTCTCTTGCATTTTGACTTCCAGGTTTTGAGACCTGGCAGAGCATTTAATAGAGGACTTGGCTAGGTGCAGCATCCGAGCTACTATGTGATGGGTGAAATGATGCTTGTGTGTGTGCGCGTGTGCGTGTGTGTAAGGAAGGGAGGAGGGTGAATAGAGATGGCTGTAGAAGAGAAGTGCATGTGATATTCTCCTTTCATACGCTGTCATTGTATGATGCAGGATTAGTGTAGGAAATAATTTTTTTTCGACCTCACGTGTGGGTTGTTTTTTAAATATAAATTTATTTTTGGCTGCTTTGGGTCTTCGTTGCTGTGCATGGGTTTTCTCTAGTTGCGGCGAGCAGGGGCTACTCTTTGTCGCAGCACGTGGGCTTCTCATTGCGGTGGCTTCTCTTGTTGTGGAGCACGGGCTCTAGGCATGCAGGCTTCAGTAGTTGTGGCTTGTGGGCTCTAGAGCGCAGGCTCAGTAGTTGTGGCGCACAGGCTTAGTTGCTCCATGGCATGTGGGTTCTTCCCGGACCAGGGCTCGAACCCGTGGCCCCTGCATTGGCAGGCTGATTCTTAACCACTGCGCCACCAGGGAAGTCCCTACCTGTGTTCTTGAGATACATCCTCTGAGCTGGAATGTTTCATCAGTAGCATATATTGGAATTAAATTCTTATTTTTAGAAAGATCTCAACTTACTATTGCTTGGGTAATTATTGTTATTGCCCTGGCTTTTGACATTGGTCTGCAGTGGAACCTCTTTTTAAATCCCTTATTTTGTCAGTAAGTATATTATTTTGCCACCTTAACCATTACAAAGGCTGCATGGTGCTTTGGTGACGTTTCCCACTCAGGTCTTTAGTGGAAATTTAGAGGAAAAGTTTGATGGTAGAAATTTAGTTGAGAATAGTTCAACAGTTCTCAGCAATAACACAGTGTAAGATTTATTAACAGTCTTTTGTTTTACTCCTCAGGAAACGTCTGCCTAAGCACATCTGTGGCAGAGAAAATCAAAACTGAGGCTGACCAAACCTGTGCCACAATTCCACCTTCAAATCCCAGTGACGCTGACGATTCCATGTCTAGTGGCCATGTTATGTCTAAGGAATCAGAGCCACCCAAGCTTCCATGGCCAAAGTCACCTGAGTCGTGCTCCTCTGTGGCGGAGAGTAACAGTGCTTTGACAGAGGGAGAAGAGAGTGATGTGGAGAGCCATGGGGTAGGCCTTGAACCTGGGGAAGTCCCAGAGGTCCCCAGTGGAGAGAGAAATGGCTTCAAAGTCCCCAGTGTATGTGGCAGTGTCAATTTTTACCATATTTATTATGCTGTCAAGGCACTTTCTGCAAACAGAATGCTGTGCATCAAAATCTTGCTTTAGGGCAGAAATAACATTTCACATTTATGGGTCTTAATCATATTTCTTTCAATGACTGGGAGGTAAGCCTTCTGTGAGGTCTGGCTCACATGGTAATAATTCAGAGAACTGGAACTTTTGGCCACATATTGGAGCTTAATTTTCTTACTTAAAATTTTTTTCTAACACTAAACTCTTTATTTTGAGATAATTGTAGATTTACATGCAGTGGTAAGAAATAGTGTAACAAGGTCTTATGTATCCATTTTGCCCCAATAGTGTCTTCTTGGAAAAACTGTAGTAGAATATCACCATGATACTGACATTGATCCAGTCAAGATACAGAGTGGTTCTGTCACCTCCAATAGTAGCCAGGCTGGAAATAATTTCAGCTGCAGGGCTCTGGCCTCCTTCTGCCAATGCTTAATACCTCTGGGTTGCAGGCTTCCCACAGCCTCTATTTTAAGATTAAGGCTCATCTGGTCATACTTTTCCCTGACTCTTTTCCTCATGGACTCTGAATCTAGGACCAGGCTGACCCTTCTGTTCCTGCCCACTGCGGGAACCAGGGCTTTGCCTCTTGGAAAACTTAAGATCCCTCTTGATTTCCAGCCTCCCCATTCTAACCCTTTGCATAGGGCCTCCCTGTTTCTCATACGTTCTTGTACGATGTTAATATCATATGCTTTCAGTGTAAACTTTCACTGTAACTTTAAGATTGTGAGTGTATCAGCCAAGCTACGATTGCATGTAGTGATTGTCATAATTTGGTAACCTCTTTTGACCTGCACAACTTGATAAAGGAGTTCAAGTGGATGAGTAAGGGAAGCCTCAAATGTTTGAGCTGATAAATTGTGCTGGCCACTGAACAGACCCACTTCTGGACTGCTCCTGGTCATTTCAACTCATCACAGGCCTTTTGGAGCTTTAGTAGCAAGGGAGAGTAGATAAAGACATCGACTTGGAATACTCTGTTTATAAGTAATTTTAAAATGTCCAATAACATATAGATGATTTCCTAATGTCACCCAATAACTTTTATCATTTTTATGCATGATTGTCCTACTGAACTATAAAATATTTCTCAGAAGTATCTGAGAAATAGAAAAATATGATCTAATTTATTTGAAAAGGTTGCGGAGAAATTTGAAAATAGTATTCACATACCAGTAAATAAAATTTACAACTTAATTTCACATAGCGATTGTAGCTGGATAGATATTGGGATTCTGGAATGGTGAATAAGTCAAATGCCTGTTTATATTTGGTCAGCTTCTTTAAACTAGAATGGAACGGAAAGTAACTTTTCTGTTTCCTTGCTTTCAATGGAGGCAATTGGATTCTCAGTGCTGTTAACCTTCATCTTTATCATTTCTCTGAACAAAGCCTGACTGCCTAGGAAAGCAAGTGCTGCTGTTGAGGGCTGAGGGACTTGGTTTGCTCTCATCAGAAACGGCTGTGTGGTATTCTTTTCTCATACCATGGTGTCAGACAGTCCTTCTAAGTAATACAGACCCATTTCATTTTTGTGTAGTGTGACCAGTGTTTCTTAGTATTAAGCGTAATGCTATGTGTATGCTGGTAGCAGTCAGCTTTAGTCAACCTTCTCAAGAAACATTGAGTTATTTTTTAAACAGTGTCTGTCTATCTGTAACTGGACTCCATTCTTTTCCTGGAGTAAATCAAATGTGTTCACACCTTATCTGCTATTCCTGCT